CAGAGTCCTAGTATTTTGACTTCCCTGCTAAAGGACATCCAATTCATTCCACTCTATAGTTTAATCACTTTAATCTTCTTAGAACTGCCAGTAGGTCAGCCCTTTTCCAAGCTTCTAGATACTCAAAGGATGCGAGTGTAGTCTATGCAAACTGTCCTCTGAATTTAACCCTCCTTTATCCTTGGAATAATTACAGTGTAGGTGTTGCATCCTGAGTTGTGGTGCCCAAACATGTGCATTATTGCTAGATCATGGCTGTTACAGAACCACCATCTCTTTATTCCAGTCACTTGAGTATTGAGACCAATCTTTCATTAGTATCTAAAGCTCTTTGTATCTGTTATCTATCTTTTCCTCTGCTTGGCAAACTTTCCTCATTGCTTCCTTTTTATTTAGAAACTGCTCCACTCTAGCTCTTATTTCCAAAGCAGAAACCACTCAATTTCCACGCTAATCTCTATCTGACAAGATTTTGCGCATTCTTAACTTATCAGTGCTATTTTCTGCTGCTATCTACATTATATTTATCTACTCTGCTATGTAATGCTAGGGCACAGTAGGCTATGGATCGAGTGTAGGTAAATGGGATTAGTGTAGTGTTTCTGTCAGCATAGACATGGAACGCTGAAGGGCCTGTTTCTATGCTGTATGACTTTATTTAATTTCAACTGAAAGCTGAGATGTGGTTTTCTTCCTTTTTCATTCAAGTAATTTATAAGATGGGGGGAAAGCAATGCCAAAAGAAGTAATTGTGCATTATCACTTCCTTCTGTAGTTGGGCAAAACAGGAAGATTCAGAATCCGCTTCACCTGCTGTTAAATGCTGATCGCTTATCACATCTCTGGTAGTCTTGAGAGGACAAGATATATAATGCAGCGTGTTTGTTTCAGAAATATACAGTCCCTGCTTTATAGGGTGGGAACACTGCTCTGTGTAAGATGCTATATTGAGATTTAACTGTTGGTTATGGGGCACATGTAAAGTACACTGTGACATGATTTTAGAGTTGTGCAGTTCTTCTCCCTGTCTTGCTCTCCCCAACCTCCTGAACCAGTGCACATTCTATCTCTGGTCTGCTTATTCATACATAGCTGTTTTCTGGGAGTTTGCAGATTGCAAATTTGCTGTGGTTTCCAGTATTACAGCAGCAATAACCTGCCAATAAGTGCTTCATGGACTGTGAAGTGTTTTAGATGTCCAATGATCTTCAATCACTTTATAAATGCAAGTCTTTCAATAATCTAAAGCTTTCAGCCCTGTTATGCTCTCGGAGGTTGGGATGCATGGACATGACCCATCTCTTTTAACCGGTATCTAATCTGTCCTGAAGAATGTGAAATACCGACACCGGAGTTAAAAGTAGGACCTGAATCTTTTTGCTTTGGGTTCAGATCTTGAATCACCTTTTATTATAACTCCTTCCAACTGCAAAAGGTGTCCAGAGCTGTTATGCATGGACACAGTTTCTGCAGGCACATGTACAGCAGTGTTCCTGATTAATTTTCTGTTTTTGCATTGGCATTGATTTCACTGTAGTACATTTTAATGTAAAGCTGGCAACGTTTTCTTCACAGTTCCCAGAGATTGAAATAGAATTTGCATAAGATTGAGTGCTGCCTTAACTTAGCTCCCACGTATTAAAGCTTTTTATAGGGAGCTTCTACACGGTCCAAATAGTTCATCTGGTAGATAAGAGACTTTTATTCACAAGCATGCTGGAAATATTTTAATCAGACTACTGATTTTTCACTAAAGAGTCACTTTTTTAAATTAAATGCATTCTCCATATTGGTAGTTGAGAATCTTATCTATCTGGAGGTTAAGTATAAGAAGATAATTTTTGAAATGTAAGCATGTTTCATGGAGGGAGCAATTTGGAATACATCCAAAAATGTAATTGGTTAAGAACTGCATAGATCCAAAATAAAATGGCTAACTTGAACTTTACTTTGTTAAGCCAAAGTTTGCTTTAATGCACATAGTTTGATGGTGAATCAGTTCTGCAACTAGATGTGTGCTCTGTACATCTAGGCACAAAGACAGCCTTTAACCTATTGCCAAAATCAAAAGATTCGGTTCCTGAATGATGTTTGTAGTCTATTCTCCATAGAGAGCTGCTGAGAAAAAGAACTTGATATCCGCTTGTCATTTTCCAAGAGGTGGTAAGAGGCAGGTGGATGCAGGAGGAGTGCTTAATTTGAAGCAAACCCTTTTCTTAATCTTTCAAGAGACTCTGTTCAGGATCGCATCGGTAGAGACTTCTAGAGTAGGCTTATCTGCTATCTGTTGACCTGAAACACTGCATAGGAAAGAACTGTTATAAAGGAACTGAAATGTGTTTTCTTTTGAAGAGCCAAGAATGAAATATTCAACTTGTTCCTGGAATGATATGTGACTATCGTGCAGATTAATTCTTCCCTTTTTAGAAGGTGGTGAGTGTCTGGAATTCTCAACCCCAGAAAACTGATGCTAGATTGAGGCTTTTGAAGTATTGGAATTGAGGGGTATGAGGGACTTGGCATGAAAGAAGAGTTGAGGCCTGGGTAAGATCAGTAATTATCTTAATGGTGGGGCAAACCTAAGATGCTGAATGGCCTACTCATTTTAAAATCAGTTTAATTTTTCACTGCGGCAAGCCCAGAGTTGTCGTTGCTGCTCTGCATATCTGTGGACTTGTATTGAAGAATGCAGCTATTTCAATAAAAGAGTTTTTAATATCAGCCTGTTTTGGGGTCCAGAGCTGTACGAGCTTACCACACACAAGTTCTTATGATCACTTCTAATTGAATAGAAATTAATGCTGTTTTCAGCATTAACCTTTTTCTGGACCAATATGATGCAACTAGTATATAGGAAAAATAGACACATGGCTATTATGTTGCTTCAAATGGACTTGTAACCATTGAGTTCTCCTGCATGGAGTCAAACATTTAGAAATTGTCTCTTTATAACACTGTTTGTAAATTGATAGAACTGTTTGTCAAAAATTAGTAATTGCTGCAAGTGCCAATTCAAGCTGTTCCAAAGTCTTTGACAATTTCATGTTTTCTGAGGTTGTTGACTGCTCGCTGAACTAGCTTGTTTTCGTTCAGCCGTTTTGTCACCATGCTAGGTGACATCATCAGTGAGGCCTCCGATGAAGCGATGTTATTCTACTCCTCTGAATTTATACCATCCGGTCCATTTACGGTGAGTTGTCACTTCCGGTTCTGTTCTGTTCTGGATGGACCCCACAGGCTTCAAGCGTAGTGGTGGACGGGGTTTGTTTGTTTGCTTTTCTTCTTTGTGTCTGCTCTATATTTTCTTTTTTTGTTTTGTTTTAAACCATTCAGAGAGGTTATACACTGCTGTGGAGCAAGTGCAACTTGAACAAACAGCCTTTGGTTCAGATGTAGGGACACTACCACTTCACCACCAGAGCCCCTTATTTGTAAACAAAAGTTGCCAGTTGCATCTAAGGTTCTTGAGTAGATTTATGCCAATTGCTAACTCAAACCAAAGACCCCCCTACCCACTATGGGCAGAACCAACATGATATGCAAGATCTGATGCAAAGACTGCAACAAATGTTACATTGGACAGACAGGAAGGAATCTGGCCACAAGAATACATGAACACCAACTAGCAACAAAAAGATGTGACCAGTACTCGTTCGTCTCCATTCACGTGGATAAGGAGAACCACCAACTCAATTGGGACTACATCAGGATCCTAGGACAGGCCAAACAGAGATAAGCACGGGAATTCCTAGAGGCTTGGTTCTCCACCAAGAAGGCCATTAATAAACACACAGAATTAGACCCTATATATACACCGCTGCCAAGAAAAACCATAAATGAGGTAACCAATTCCAACAGACCCCAGAGTTTAAATATCAGGCAGGGGAAAACAATGGTGCTTCATCAGAGGCTGTACTGATGATGTTACCCAGCAGGGTAATGAAACATCTGCGAACTGATGAACCAGCTCAGCGAGCCAGCCAACCAACCACAGTTGCCACTTGCATTTTGGCCAGAGGTTAAAGGGTAGCGTGGCTTATTGAGGGCCATGCTTCATCTTGTAAAACTGTAGCATTTTAACACTGACCCGGTTTAGGACTACTCACATGTAACCTTGACGATATCTGGGACTGAGGGGGAAGCAAGTCACCAAAGCAGAGGGCACTGTCTTTATTTCAATTATACTAGAGGGTCACTATGGGTTTTGTGCTCCACCCAATACGACACTAGAATTCCTAAGCAAAGGTGCGCATTGGCTGCTAGGGCAGACTTCTACCCTATGAATTTTATTGTTATACAGACATTGCAAATGCTCTAAAACTAGTAGCTTGACTGTGCGTACAGTTGTTTTTGCAACCAAGCTTGACTTCTAAACTTGTATTTGCAGTTTTACTCTCCCCTCTCCCTCTCTTTCTCCCCCTCACTCTTGTTACACCCCCACCCCACTGATTTTATAATACTTTGTACAAGGTTACTTGCCAGCTTCCTTTCTACTGTTATTTCAATATCCTGGCTATTTAATTTGATCATGGATTTTGTTTCGCTGTTAGTTTTATCAGCAGTTATGGAATCCCTTCTTCAGCAACCTCCTGTTTTTGAAGTTTTCTTTTGAGTTTTGACTGCATGTAAGTGAATAGCCCTGTGGAATTGGACAACATAAAGCCTTGTAACTTAATCCAGGTGCAATTAGATAGTTTCTTGAAACTTTCCTTTTTGGGAAGGAAATGGATGGAAATTGTATCCCTAAACTTTGTTACCTGAAGGTTCACACGAGTAAGAAATTAACCCATTGACTGCTCTCCAAGTCTGACACCTGAACATGTAAGATTGGGTTAGGAATGGATATTAGAGTAATGAAATAAAAAAAAAAGTTGCTAATTCTATATTTCAGACTATTGCATCTGTCGAGCCCTTTTGCTGAGTAAGTGGGAGGTTAGGCCCAAGTTTTTATGCACTGTGTGGGAACAATGATTAAGTTGATATTTGCTTCTCTTTTGTAGCTTGATGACTGTGCACTGCAGCTGTCCCACAATGGTACCTATCTCGATTTGGAGTCTAACTTGGCTGAACAGAAAGATGAATTGGAAGGCTTCTTGGAAGATTCTGGGTAAGAATGTTTGTAGGAAATGTCTTTCATGTCCATTTTTTTAATCTCCTAACACAGTACTAATGTGATCATCTTTGACAAGGCTTTTCATTATAGCTTGAGCTTACTGATGTTGCAAACTGACTGATACAGAGATAGTAGGAACTGCAGATGCTGGAGAATCTGAGATAACAAGGTGTAGAGCTGGATGAACACAGCAGGCTGAGCAGGAAGGTTGACGTTTCGGGCCTCGACCCTTCAGAAAATTTTCTGAAGGAGGGTCTAGGCCGGAAACGTCAGCCTTCCTGCTCCTCTGCTGCTTGGCCTGCTGTGTTCATCCAGCTCTACACCTTGTTATCTATGACTGATACAGTTGTTCTATAAATTCAATGTGAACGTGATGTGTGAGGATTGTGTAAATCCAGGTGCTTCAAGATGACGTTTTTTAAAGAATGTCTTAGTGTTAGAACTTTTAGGCTTGGATAGTAATGACTGCATAATTGGACAAATTGACTTGATATGTTGCTGGCACAAAAGTTGGATTAACCCAATGCAGGTGTAAAAGGTGATCCCAGTGAGTTCCTGCAATTGTCAATTTCAACCATGTTCTTTAATTGTGCCCTTTTGGGAATTCTTCCAGATTAGGTTCCACTCAACTCTATATCAAGCGACTGATTTTATTATGGATAATTGGGTCTGTTATTAATGTTGTTTTCATCAATTTGATTTTTAATCTGTTGGTGAAACTCTCCTTCTTGCTTCAGCCTAAATTTGTGGCTGTGTAGGGTTTTGTTCTGCTCTGTTGCTAGTAGAACTTGGACAAGAAAAATACAGGCCAAGGTGCCATTTTTACAAGTGATAATGATGAACAGATATTGTAATGGTGCCACACAATCCTTTTTGTAATTACAAATATTCAAGAAATCTTGTGCACAGTATGATATTTGACTTGCATTAGCATAACAATCCTAGCATTACAGATCCTGCTGTCCAAAGTATCCTTACTAAATGATTTGATTATTGTCACATGCACTGAGATACGATGAAAAATAGTTTTGTGTGCTAACCAGACAAATCATACCCAAGTACATCAGGGTAATAGAACAGAATGCAGAATATACAGTTACAACTAAAGAGAAGGTACAGAGAAAGATGGACGTTTTTCTTCAATTCCTTTGTGGGATATGGGTGTCGCTGGCTGGCGAGCATTTCTTGCCCAACCCTAGTTGCCCTTGAGAAAGGTGGTGGTGAGCTGCTGCCTTGAACTGCTGCTGTCCACCCTCCTGGTGACCCACAATGCTATTTGTGGGGGGGGAGAAATTCCAGGATTTTGATCCAGTGCCAGTGAGGGAACGGCGATGTATTTCCAAGTCAGGATGGTGAGTGGCTTGGAAGAGAACTTGGTGGTGGTGGTGGTGGTGGTGTTCGTGTTCGTGTGTTCCCATATGTCTGCTGCCCTCATCCTTCAGATGGAAATGGTTGTGGGTTTGGAAGGTGCTGCCTGAGGATCTTCGGTGAATTTCTACAGTGCATCTTGTAGATAGTACACTCTGCTGCTACTGAGTGTTGGTGGAGGGAGTGGATGCTTTGTCCTGGATGGTGTCAAGCTTCTTGAGTGTTGTTGGTGCTGCGCTCATCCAGGCAAGTGAGGAGTATTCCATCACACTCCTGACTTGTGCTTTGTAGATGGTGGACAGATATTGAGGAGTCAGGAGGTGAGTTACTCATGCAGTATTTCTAGCTTCTAGCCTGCTGTTGTGGCTACCATGTTTTATGCGTTGAGTCCAGTTGAGTTTCTGATCAATGATAACCCTCAATGTTGCAAGTAGGGGATTCAGACTCCAATGTGAACGGTCTTTTCTTAAGTCTAATAAGTGGGAAAGAAGCTGTCCTTGAATCTGTTGACCGTTGCAGACTGCATATTCACTGCTATATGATGATTGAGTGTCTGAAGTATATTTTGTGCTGTAAAAAGGCCAGCAGCATCATCCTCCTCTGTGTGCCCCTCTATTCATCTCTTGGATTGACACCAATCAATGCCCTAAACAGTTTTAATATAGCATAGTTCCTTCAATACGTGCTCTCCCTTGCATAGTGCTTTCAAATCTGTGCAGACTTGTTTTGCTTGATACATGAAAATAAGTGGTTTGCCTTGTAGCTACCAACTGTAAAATTACTTCAGTGACCACCTGCTTTTAATAATTTTAGATGTGCACCTTAAGCAACAGAATGTTTCAGACCTCCACTTAGAGTGTTGCTTTGAACAGGTAATGAGACTAAGTTTTCAAAAATAAAATTACTGTAGGTAATGTGAGGTATGTGAATAAGCTGTTAGGACTTTCTTGACTGAAGTGCATTGCTTCCCAAATAGGGGGTTGAAGCAAAAGTTCTGCTTAAATGTCTGTTTCATGTTTTTTTTTTGTGTGGTGGGAGGGGGGTACTATTTGAAATTGTGGTAATGAGATGGAACTAGTGGTGTGAACTTTTAAATGCTGTATTGGTTTTGTAACAGAAGAGGATTTTGTGCTTGGCTCATTGAACTCTAGTGGCAGAAGTGCTTGTTTAATAAATTTTGGTAGTCCATTTGATGTGTGCCCAGGAAATGACAGGTGGCAAAGATGAGTTGGCCTGATTTTTGGTTTCATCTTTTGGATGCTGAATAGAAAGCTGAATTGTTGTCATTCTGGGAGCTGGTCAACTTTATCCTCCTGTCTAGCGAGGATGCTGCGTGAAATGAAGAGAATGGAGACTGCTAATTTTGAGTATTAAAGATAACTGAGGGAAAGGATATGGAAATAGTGTAGCAAAACAGTGTTGCTGTAGAAGATCAGCCCTCATCTCATTGAATGGCATTGTTGGCTGGAACAGACCAAAAGATTTACTCATCCTTGTATTCTTTCCTACAAATTTAAAAATGTTCAACAGCAATACGCTTGCTGCTTTCCTTAACTCTCTTTATATATTTTAATGTTTCTGCCTGCTGAAATGTTTTCCAAATGGATGGAATTTGCTTGTTGCACTACCCTTACCCTGAAATGTTGGCTCCTTACAAGGGTGTTGTTTCATGAGTTTGGGTATTTTTGCCTAGTTTTCCATTTATAGTTGAGCCATGCCAAATTGCTTGACTACAGGAAGCATTGTAGTACAGTCCACTCCTGAGTCAAACATTTGCTGGACGACTTGAAGCAGTCACCTGGTCATGTTCCGAAGGTAAGTAGCCACATGTGAACCTAGTCTACCTGGGACTTGGAGAGGCAACTCTGGCTCAGGTGAGCTAGCTTTTTTGACAGGAGGGTGAAGATTGCCTTGAGGCCTCAAACCAGTAACAAGCCATTTACTAGGGTTCTTCCCAAGTACTCCGCGTTTCGAGTGGGGTGGGGGGAAAGAAAAGTGTAAAACGTTTTAAAGCTGGTTGGCCGTCTGGATTCACAGAATGGGATGTAGTCCAAAACTACCTGCAGGGATTGAATTTATAAGGTTCCTAAATTTATGAGGCTGTGAATCTTTTTCTAATTAACTTTAAGACTGCAAAAAGCAAAAGGATCCACAGTACACAGTAAAGTTTTGGTGTTGGTTATTCGGGGGGGTGCTGAGCATGAAGCATCTCGGTGTTGGATTACTCCAGAAGCCTGTTTGGCAGTATGCCCACTCTCTGTATCCCCTCCTGTGGGAATATGTGAAATGGAAACACTACTTTTGAGAGCGGTGGTTTAAATGCTTTTTCAATCAAATCGGGAACACTGGAGGAAGCTGTAATTCAGGTGAGTTTTTAATGGACTTCCTTGAAGCAATATTTTACAGTTGATTTAGGGAATTCAGCAGCACTGCAGATTTAAACATTTCCCCCTTTTTCAGCCTGCTTTAAAAGAATCCTTTGAACGATATACTTGATTTTCTTTACGCTTAACATTTTTTCCCTACCCTTGTGTAATGAGCACACTTTGGAGACTGAGTTAATAGGGAAGAAGTATCTCCTAACCTTTGAAAACAATCTGAAGATTAGAGAGGTGATTCTCTTTGACACTATACTTTTTCCTGCCCTTTTATTGTGTAGGATGAAGCGTTTGCTGGTCTCCTGTCTTATGGCATAGAGATGTTTGGGGCAGGGTAAGTCTGCGCTGCCCTCTTTTGCATGGTTTACATTTTATCTGCTTGTGTAAGCAGTTCACATGGCACCTTGTGTTTTTTTTGTTTCAAGTTTTAAATGACCCATGTTTTTAATTTCTTTGAACGCAAATCTCTCCAAAGAGTTTCTGAAAGATGCAAATGTTAAATTTGCTTTCGGATAAAATTTGAATTTTGCATCTTGGAGTGGACTGCCAGTTGCAGGAAGGGGCTAGAAAATTGGATGTCAAGCGTGCTTGCCTACCTGTCTCTCTCTAGTATTTAACTTGTGACTGTGTGTCAGCCAAAGTACCACCCTTGGGACAATTTTAGGTTTGTCTTGGCTGCTTCAGGATTTTTTTTTTTGTGATTTCAGGATGGTGGTTTCCTGTCTTCTACAGCCAAGATCGAATTTCCCACCTGCTCCCATACAAATTGGACATTTTTTTTCTTTCCTGGCTGTTTTATTGTCTAAAACACACAAATCAATTCTACGCAAGTTTTCTGGCTGTGGCTTGAGTTTCATTAGTGAGTCCCAGCCTTTTTAAATCTTTTTAGTTTCTCTGTCTTTCCTTTTTTTTCTGTTAGCTAGATTTCTATAAATTTGCTCTCTTCCAGCTTAAATTGTCCCTTCTGGTTTTTTTTTTTAAAAAAAAATATATTTTTCTGGCTCTTTTTGAGTTTGAGTTTCTTGCAGCTGTGCGTCTTTGTGGGGTGCTGGTCTAACGCTCATTGAGAGAACTCCCTTTACACTGCCTTGCCTTTTCTTAAACTCTTTGCGTACTTGTTACTAAGTTATCCATCTTTCTTTTCCCCAAGAGATATCTAACTTGACACCCAGCGTTTTCTCTTGCTCCATGCAGGGCATCTTTTTTTTGGCCAAGGTGGTTGTCTTTAAGTGTGGCTGGTTTCTTCTG